GTGGTGGGTGTTATCAAAAGACAAAGCACAGGTGACTGGCAAAGGGAGAGTTGTCTTCAAGGTAGTCTGCCACTTTCTTTGTTGTTTCAAATCTCCAGCAGCTGGAGACCGTGCTGCTCTGCCTGGGAAGCTTCACAGCTCAGCGAAGGAGCCTGTGATGGCAGCTTTTGCTTTCATGAATTCTAAGCTCAGTGAGTGTTTAACCATGCCTCAAACAGATTGGCTTTTCAGAGGAAAAATGGTGTTTGTGTTCTGGTATTGCTGTCCAGCTTAATGTAATGAGTGATGGAAGCACTGTGCCTGGGACACATCTATCTGCTTCCCTCCAGACCATTTCTGTTCTGGCTTTTCCTGCAGTCTTAAGTTATCAACCCAGAACACTCACTGATGATAGGAACTTACTGCTGCCTTTCCATACATGCTGGGATCTCTACTTCAGCTGAAAGCATGTTCCTGCTCCTGTTTTTGAGCCAACTTGAAATGGGAAAGAAGGCACCAAGGGGTGAGCTTAAGGGGCTCATCCAATTTAAAAAGCGTGTATTAGTGTGACAAGTTGTAAAAATGTCCAAGTGGATGGAGAGTCAGTGTCTGCCTAGGGACCTGGTGCAGGTTGGAGCCTGCCAGGACTTGACTGAATGTGGTGTTTGTAGGTTTATCCCCCCCTTGACTATCAAGTCACCTTGTTCAGCTGGTGGTGGGGAGGCAGGGTGGTTCTGAGACCGAGACCTTGCCCTTGCGTTGGAGGCAGTGGAGAAAAGCTTTGGGCTCCGTTCCAACTTCCAGAGACATTCTTCAGGAGAAGCTGAGCGGGTGCGTGAAGTACAGGAAGCAGCTTGTGCCTTTGCTGTCCCTGCTGATTAAACATAATGGCACTCGTGAAGTCAGGCAGAAGGGCAGGCTCCAGCTCCTCTCCCAGCTAATCCCTGCAGCTGCGGAAAGCGGGTGCTCCTTCAGTTTGCCTGGACTCCACCAAGGGCAAGGCTCTAATTAGCTCGCTCCAATTGCACTGTGCTCTGCTCAGCCTTAGCACCTGGCTGCAGTTAATTAAAAGATGGGTTGCTGAGGTTTTATTAGTACAGTGTGTTTGCCACTAGATGAAGTGATGGCAGAAAGGGACGACTTGTGTAAATTGTCAGGGGAAGGCAATACCTGAACGCGGTGAACGGCCCTGTGTGCGAGATCACTCGCCTTCCCAGGTGAGCCAGGGGAGAGTCAAACCAGCAAACAAGAGTTTTTATCATTACCAGGCTGCTGAGCCAGCCTGTCCCCTGAATTTCTTAAAGCTTTTAAGAAGGAAAACCTCTGAGCAGATATGTGCACATGAATCATTTGGCAAAAGCGCTCAGGCAGCTTCCCAGAGGGGAACTAAAATAATTTCCACATACAAGTAAAGCAAATAGCCTGTGTCTTGTTCATCCTACCAAGTATTATGGACTAGTGCTGAGTAAGAGATCTTTGCAGAGTGCTGATAAAAAGGTTGGCAACTCATTCCACCTGGTCTGGATTATTGCAGCATGGTTGTATAATACTGAATTACAATTTTTTTAGTCATCTTCCCAGGCTGTTCAACCTGAGCCACTAAGCCTCAACTAAAATGTTTTGAAATAGCAATTCATGCTCCTAAATACTTGTGTAGGTGTACCCTGTAAGAACCAGAGACAATTTCAGTGGATTTTATAATCTTCCTCTTAATGTGTAGAACAGATATTGCCTCCTAAGATCCAGCTCAAATGTTCCATCTCGGTGGCATTTGAGACTAGTTGTATTTGGCTCATCTTTGTTCCATATCCAGTTTTACAACTACCAGATGACACCCTAATGACACATCAAAGAAACCATGAACAGTTGCACTTAAGTGCTCTCTGAAAGATGTCTCCAGTGAGTTACAGAGCTCCCACACAGGATACGAAGGGATTTTGACCAGAGAGCAAAAGTGGCTTTCACGTTTAGACATCACAGCAGCAGTGCACTGCAAATCCTAACCTTCATTTAAAACAACACAAAAAGCTGTTCTAAGGTGTAGGGTGTTTTTGTTTTTTTGTTTTTTTTTTTTTTTTTTCAAGCTAGTTCTGTAAACTGTCTTGAGATCTTTTGCTCTTTACTTAATGTTAAGTTTGGGAAAACAGGTAAAGAAACCATCTTGCTGAATAAAAATCCAAACTCGCTTCTAAAAACTTTTTGGGAAAGGAGAATAGAAGTATTTTGGAAGCTTCTGAGCCTTTAAATGTTGGCCAGACATGTTTGGATTTGCAAAAGAAGCTGGCTGGAATGAGCACATTGTCATCCATGGCCGGGATGAAACCTGAAGTCACCGTTGATGCAGTGTTGGTTCTTACTCAGTTGTGACAAAATTAATCTGATGCTGAATCTAGATCTATAAATATATTTATTATAATATAACAAGAACTTAACAGTAAACATAAACTATATACAATACCATTACAGATAACCCTGTTTTTAATATTATTCACAGAAATAGCCAGTTTTGTTCCAGTGTGAGAAATGAAGATATAAGCTAAATTGGAAATGTTGAATGTGTTTAGGTCTTGCTGACAGGTAGCACCTCCTTTGGAGGCAGACACACACCAACACTAAAATTAGTCCTGCCCCAGGCAGTTAGAAACTTGTGCTCCAATCTTTAGGTTCACACTTGCACCCTGTTTGACATAAATACTTTAAATGACATACTAGTATATAATTTTGTTGTGCTTATTTATTTTTTTTCTTTTAAAGAATAAATAAAACAACTGCATAACAAAGGCTGGAACCTCACTGTCAAAATGGGAGACTTGAGTCACCCTATAGCTTGACTCAGCTGACTTGAGCACTTTTTCTTTAAATACTGCAAGATACAAATTTCTTTTTTGTAATTTTATAAATTATTAATAAAATAAGATGATTAGCTAACCATCTGCATTGATTTCCCCAAAGCTGTAGGCAGACCTCCCTCTGTATAAAAAGGCTAGCGTATTTGGTATGAAATTCAGCTAGATACTGACTGTAAGATCTCACCCACGCCCTGTGTGGGACCCTCCTTGAATTACCAGCATGGCAGTTGGGATTTGAGTCTGCAAAGGCAAGTATGGCAACTTTTCTCTCTCTACTTTGAAAGAAATCAGACGATCCTTAGCTTGGGGTTACTTCCTTTTTGGGAATTTTGATATTCTTTCCCCTGCCCCCTCTACGTTACCCAGTCCACTTCCCATTTCATCCTTTAATGTATAAATTTATAAAGAATTTCCACATCACAATGCTCTCTGGATAGACAATATTTTAATATATATAAAAATATAACCCCTGTGCTGTGCATATACTTACAACTCTACATAGTAATCACTTGAAGTCTCTTATACTGGGCTTAAGTCTACGCGTTTTTCTACCACGGGATTTAAACGGTGTGTTTGGAATCTTGTCAATAAGAGAAGCAGAAGGTTTCCACACCTAGGGGGGAAACCTGAAAAATAAAAACAAAACTTCCCAGACTTTGATGTTACAGATAGTGGCATAAATCCCAAGGCAGCTGGAGGCATCTTCCCCACGTGCTGCAAACGAGGAGATCCCGCCCTACGCTGCGTGTCCCGGTGCCATCCCAGGCAGTGGGTGTAGCAGGAAAATGCCTTTGGAGCTGGAAGTTTTCATTTTGCATTATGGGTATCGAATACTTCCAAGTTCACTGATCAGCAGAAACTGGGAGGAAAAGGCTTAGAAGCCCCTCCCCACCCCCCCCACAACCTGTGGGCAAGGCCACACGTCCTCAGACACGTTATCACCAGGAGCAGAAACTCATCCAGCCCAACACACTTTTGGTTTGGTGTTTTCATCATTTTACATGGAATTTATTACCAGTGGCCATTCCTCTCCCCAGCCCCCACCTCATCCACCTTCTAAGCTCTGCTCTAGAGAACTGCAAGATTAGTTGGGTCTGATGGAAGACTGTCACCAGTGTAAGCCATCTGTCACACAAGGTTTCCCTCAGTCATTGGTACTGAAAAGCAAGTATTTGTTAAAAACAAAGGTAGGAATCAAAGTGGTAAGGACACTTTGACCTTTCAAACAGACTGATGCCTAAAGTGTAATAGTAAAACTAATCTGCATGGTTATTTTAAGAATCAAGCTAGAGCTGTAAAGTAAAATGCAGACTATTATTATTTTTTTTTCCTCTCTTCCCCAGCTTAAAAAATATGTGAAATTCTATTGCACCTGGGTTGACCAAAAGCCGACGTCCAGAACAAGTGCCACTATAACATCTAGTGACACCCTTGTGTTATGAAGTTACAATATCTTACATAGCACGGAGCTCTCTGCTCCTTGTTCACCAAAAGGTGAGGATGATTTTTCTACATTCAATGTAGACACTATTCAAGACTTTAGAGCAATATGTTCACTGGCTGGCTTTGCTTCTGCTGTTTCTTAAGTAGTAGTATTCTTCTTGCCTGCTTTCAGCAGGTACAAACAGTTCTCCATCCAACTCCTGGGTAACGTCAGCCACTCTGAATGTACTTCTTGATTACTACACAGCCGTGTCGAAAAACAGGGCAGGGCATATTTGGTAGAAGTGTCCATGTATTTGTTTTAGGGTCGTAGGCTTCCATGTTTCCCAGGGCAGGTCCTTCACTGCTCACGATCCCACCAGTGGCATAAATTTTTCCATCCAGAACCACAGCACTGTATTATTTAAAAAAAAAAAAAAGATAGTTTAGTTAGTTCTCTTACCCAGCGAATCTCTTTTTAGGCTTTAAACAAACCCAGTCTTTTGTAACATGGGGCAAATAATGAATACACCTTTCATTCTGATCTGTATAAAGCTGTGTGGGCATTCTTCTTCCCTCACCCTTTCTCTCCCCCAAATCAATCCTTTTTGTGTTCCTGCCAGGTAGGTCAATGTCTTCTCTAGTTAAACAACAGAAATTTAAGTCCAAGAAAGGTGTTTCTCCAGCCCCTATATGGGATCTGCAGCAAATGTACCAGGAGGACGTGGCCCTGCAACACCATACACATGCAAAAGCAATTCAGGCATTTTGGGGTCCCTGCTGCCTTGGCTGGAATATACTTTTGCTTTAAGTTACTCCTCTAATTATCAATAAATGCTGCAAAGTGGAGGAAAAAATGCTCTGTTTGAGAGCCCTTCTGTTGTTGTGCTCTGGCACCAGATCCTGGAGGTCCTGCTGACTTGTTCTCCTTGGTGTGCCCAGGGACAGTGGTGTCAATTGGAAAGCCAGCCTGGGGCAGATGGATCTGATGGTTGGGGATGTCCAGCTGAGGGACTGGCAGGGGACCTACATGTTGGCATCTAAAGAAGAAAAAACATCTTGGTGCTTTTCAAAAATCAAAGTGTTTGACTTCAGACATGTCTGGCAAATCAAGGATAAGGAGGTTGGGTTAATCCTGTGGTCTGTAGGCTCTTGATAGGAGGGAAGGGGTGTAGATGGGGAACAGCTCTGAAAGAAAAATTGCCCTTTGGTCTCATTTCTTCCTCCTTCCACTTAAGCCTTCTGCATCTCCTGAAATTGTGCACAGGGTGTGACACTCGTTTTCAGCTAACGAAGATGGACAATGAGGGATTTGGCTCCTGTCTGTGTATTTGGAGAGGGCAGAAGGATGAGAGTGGCAGCTGAGTAAGAAAGGCCTTCACTGGGCTGCTGTGTTCTCCCTGCTGCCTTGCCACTCCATAGGGGAACCAAAAGGGGGGACAGCTCTGCTTTTTATCTGCTGTGAAGTCTAAGTGCCTCCAGCTAAATTTGAAGATGATAAGTTAGATGGAGTTGATGGTGGCTTTTCTGGTGGTTAGGTCCCTTCCAAGAGCAGCCAGTAGATGATTGTGTTGGGAGGGAAAGTGGAGACTTCAAGAGTGTGTAAACACTAGAGGACAGCAGGGAGAAAAAGAGGAAGGGGGGGGAAGACAAATTAATTGCAGCCAAGAAGGTCGATCTAAGAAGGTGGAGAAGGGCAGTAACCCTGTAGGCTTGGTAAAAGCAAAGTAAATTCTGGCTAATTTTGGAGCAGTGAGAGGAAGAAGGATAAAAAGTGAGAAAGGCAGATGATAGCGCTAGAAGACCCATGATCAACTGAGGCTAAAATGGCACTGATAAAGCTACACATTTCTGAGGAGCACAAAACTCTGATGTCCTTGTGAAGAAGGAGAGCCTGAGGTTAAAAATAAACCCACAATGACAACAGTGAGGACTCGAATAAGCCTAGTCCCTGGGTACTGCCAGGAAATGGGAAATAATGAGAATCTTGTCAAAATAACTGTTAATCTGAAAGGAGGAGGAAGGAGAGAGAGAGGCTTGAAACACTTGATTAGAGCCTATCCACAAATCAGCAGGGCTGGATGATACATAGCCCAGGGTCCTTAGGGAGTTTGCTAATGAACTTACTGAACCACTGTTAATTATTTTTTAAACGTCAGGGAGAAATGGGGAAGAACAAGGACTTGAGTAAAGCAAGTGTCATCCTGAAAGATGGCTCTGAAAGACAAGGAGCCTATCTCCAAAGGAGCTGGAGCTGGTGGCAGGGAGGCACTGCCCATAGGGACTCCTGCCAGGGCTGAGGTCTCTATGGCCAGCATGGAGCCCACCCAGTAAAACAGACAAAAGAGCAAATTAAACCATGGTTTAGGATTTAAGCTGTTTGTTGGGAGGTGGGGATCCCTCCTGTATACTGGAACAAGTTACTATTTAAAGCAAGACAGGCTGGGAATTAGAGCTTGCAAAATACATCATGAGGAGGGAAGAGGATGGTCCCACCCCAAGCAGGAACATTCCCCATGTGGTGGAGGGGCTGCTGAAACCAGCACATGAGATATCAGAAATGAAGCCATGGGGCAGTAGTTGCTGTTTGTGTTTCACCTCGTTTTCCTCCTAGTGAAGCTGAAGGAGATGGAAGCTTATTTCAATTGGGATATGGTTTGGGATGTGCTGGCCAGAAGCAGGTCCAGTGTCAGAGGTGGTTATTAAAAAAAATATCCCGTAACAGCTTGACCCAAAAAAACCCCAAATGGATTCATGTAGCCACTTCATTGGGAGAAGTGGGAAAATTCAAAGAATCTCCCCCCAAAAGAAAAAAGATCCCCAAAGAAACATGTGACTTCAAATTTACCACTAATGTGTAATCACAAGAGATGCTGCTGCAGTGCAAGGAGCCTGGGGCCTGTTCCATCAGTGCTGATGAGCAAGGCCCTCAGCTAAGTTTTAATTTACTGATGTAGACACACTGGTGTAGATGACAGCACCTCCCACCAGCACAGGAGAGGACCTTGGTGGTTGTTACCACTTACATACAGGCCCTGTCTAATACTTAATGCTCCTTACGTGAGGAGACTGCTCTGTGGAGCATTTGATCTGGAGGGGAAGAAGGGAATGGACAGAGGGAGGACCCTGTGCTGAGACCTTTCCATCTATGCTGTAGGTGACCCTGGGAACAGAAGCCAAGCAGCCACCAGCCCTTCCCAGCTGGCTGTGTGCTGCACAGCTGAAGTCTGGCTGCAAGTCCCTGGCATCCCCTTGGGCACCTCGTGTCAGGTCTACAACAGGGACGTGGGTGCTTCACGAATTCCTCTGTAGTGTCTCAGCTGCCTACCTTTCTTCTAGTAAAGCCTCCTCTGTGGCACAATTAGCAGCTACTCTAAGCCAGAGCTGCTGCCACTGTTGAGCAGCTGAGTAGCCAAGCACACCTTCCCAAAAGGATCTGGGCCCAGGTTCCACCCCTCCATGCTCTGGATCAGGGGCTATAGCAGGAGGGCAGATGTTCTCCAGCACCTGGGCTACACTGAAAATAATTCCTGCTCAGCAGCTGGGATGAGCAGCTCAGTACTGTAGCCTCCCATCATGGTGCTAATGCATTAGGGAAGAAATGGTTGCTGAATTCCACCCTTGGAAAGACAGTATGAATTTTAAATGGTAATTAGTGCAACTTCTGCCCCCTCCGAATGCAATTCCCATAGCTAAGATTGGCACAAGGCTTAGCTGGTGAGTCATGCCTGAGGTGAAGTCAGGGAGCTGCTCCTGCTCTCAGGAAACAGGCAGTTCTCAGTGCACAGCAGGTACTTAAATGTGCTGGGGAATTTAGAGACATTCAAGCATCTCCAGGCTAAGTGGCAGGTAGGTACTTAAGATCAATTAGAAATTTAGTCCTAGACTGCTGCTCCTTTGCACTATTAGGACAATCACTGCTAATTTCTAGGACCTTAGGGAATAGGAGACTCAAGAGGGCTCTGAAACCTTGAAGAAAGTGAGTGGAAAGGAGTATGCTCATTGCTCTTTCTTCATTACTGTGACAATATTTCTTGTCTCCCCTCCCTTCCATCCCATCAGCTGTAAAAACATCATTACCAAGGCTGACGTACAAAGAAAGAAATAATTACAATAATTAGGATGTGCGTTTATTGCTTGGTGCCATTAATCCTGAGAGATAAAATTATTACAGGCTGTCAGCTCTTGGGAAGGAGAAAGGAAGCTCAGCACCACAGAGCCTGGCTGTGGGGACACAGACCTTCCAGCAGCTTTGGGAGCAGCGACCTCGCCAGCTAAGGAGCAGCCAGACCCCATCTCTCCAGCAGCATCCTGGGGTGAAGGTAATGTGAGAATGGAGGTCACTTCATCCACTCCTTCCAGGAAGATATATTTTTCTATTATTATATGAGGGTAGTGGATCACTGCAACAGGTTGCCTACTGAGGTGGTGGAGGCCCCATCCCTGGAGACATTCAGGGTCAGGCTTGATGGAGCTCTGAGCAACCTGATCTAGTTGGAGATGCCCCTCCTTATTGTAGGGGGGTTGGACTAGGTGACCTGTAGAGGTCCCTTCCAATCCAAGACATTCTATGATTCTATTTCAGCATTTTGCTAATTAGTACCCAGCAGGCTAACAACCCTGCTTTCTACTGCCCTGGTAATTACTGTGGTTTACTAAAGAGGCTTCACCCTGCAGCCCATTCGCCCCTCACTGCCCAAACCAGGAGCAGTGCCAGGGGGTCACGTTGTGACTGTCCCCTGGCATTGCCACCACTACTCCAGGCCATCTGCTGACCTCCATGAAGCTGTGAATCACACTCCTAAGAAAACCCCAACAAAGCTGAGTTGCACCAAGGGCTGCTGGGGGCCTGGCTGTCCATGGCTGGAATGCTTGTAAAATATGAACACATTCTTTGAATAGAATAGAATAGAAATAATCTGCCTTCTCTTCTCTGCCTACCCACCTTGCAGTCCTTGCCCAGCTTAAGCCAACAGGTGGCAGAGAGGATCCCTCTCTGGCCATTAAAAGATTTGATGGAGAAAACTAATCATTGAATTATACAATCATAGAAGAACCCAGGTTGAGAGGATCTCAGAAGACCACCTGGTCCAACCTTTCATGGGAAAGGGACACTAGATGAGATGATCCAGCACCCCCTCCAGTTGTGTCTTGAAAACCTCCAGTGATGGGGACTGCACCACAGCCCTGGTGAGGTTGTTCTATTGAATGACTGTAAAAAAATCCTACATTGAGATTAAGCCTCTCCTGGTGCAACTTGTACCTGTTGCTTCTTGTCTTCACCATGTGGCTTCCTGTGAAGACTTCCATCCTCCTTGTAGCTGCCCTTTAAGTGCTGGAATCCTGTGTGAGGTCCCTCTGAGCCTTCTCGAGGGAGAAAAGACCTAATTCCTTCAATCCTTTATCATAAGGCAG